ACCAGAAGAGACTTATTTTATATATTCTTTTTAAATTTTTTTTTGGTATGTGTTTCCATTTTTAATGTAGAATCTGCAGAAGAATCCAAGGTTTTTTATTTGCAGGATTTCGTCATCAAGTGGGAAAGAGAAGTAAGTACAAAATGACCTTGGTTTAACCTCAAAATTACAAGTATAACCCCCACTGTAACAATTTAATAATACTTGTTCCTCGGTTACTTAAAACCTAATTTTCGAGACGCCAAGGGTATTTATGTCAAATAGCAGAGGGTAACGAAAAGTCCTACACGCGCCACGCATGTATGAAAAGTGGCAACCGAAATTTTGTAATTTCGTATCTTAATTCTGTAGAATTCTTTACCATATTTCGCTAATTCATTTACCATATTTTGATAAAGAATTCAACACGAAGAAATAAAATATTGGCTATTTTTTTTCTTCCAGAAATTAAGCTTTGTATTAGTATTTTCACTTATAATTATCGGTCTGACATATCGTATAAAACGAAATATAGTGACCTGCATTTGGCACACTTAAAATCTCGATTCACCTTTTTAGAATTTTTTCGTTTTAATTCTAATCTATTAAACCATTCCTCTCACCGCCACCTCGATTTTACCTTTTTAAAATTTTGAATGAAAAAGAAGCTTCTCAAGATAACGGTGGTTGATAGGAAGAAGGTGAAATCCGACGTCTCTGTTTGCTTTCATCGATTATTCTGGCTAGATTAGCCAACGGTGAATGCCAAATCTGTAACACAAGATCATTTGATTTCATCAGATTTGTTTCGATAGGTAAATAACATATCATTGAATGCCTAAATGGTTTATGTTTTCTTTTATCGCAGGAGATGATCGGAAGATCCAAGTGTGGAACTTCGACTCATGAGACACTTGCCTGCTCACCCTCTATGGACATCGTGTTCCTCTATCCACATAGTCCAGTTCCACAGACAATTCCCCAGCGAAGACAAATCAATCCGGATATGGAACATTGACTCAAAGAGGTGCATCGGATTGAGTCCATGTTCCATATCCAGGCTGATTTGTACTACATGAGCTGTACACAAAAAAAAAGGGAGGGGCTTATGATGAACAATCGTTTTGTTATATGCTATTATGTCGTTGAAAGGTTGTTATGATGTGGAAACTCGTAAGAAAAGGAAAGGTGATTCTGATGGATTCATATCCTCATAATATTTTGTTGTTCTAGATATTTATGTTCGATATGATCAAACTCTTATTTGAA